GGAGAAGGTGGCAAAATTTTCACTATGCACCTTTCAGTACCTTTTGAATTTTGAACCAAACAGTGGTATTATCTACACCAAAATAAAGTTTATATTTAAAAACTTACTCCTCTGTATTATTAACCTTTTAGAGTATTATAGCTTGCTGAATTAAATTTCCCCAAATAGACAAACACTAAAGGCCCCTGGTTGTGGTATTTTTGTTCATTAAATGTCCTGTAAAGTAATTAATACAGAAATTTATACAGAGATTATAAAGCAGAAGAGTTGCTGTAAGTGTCTCTGGAAATCCTGGAATTTAAATGCTAAGGACACCTCAAAGCTACTTTCCAATCCATGCTGCACTCAAGGCCATGTCCTTACTCCAATATACCTGATGCTTTAATTGTCCCAGAAAACCTACAGCAGGAATACACTTGACATAATGCGACTGATCTAGCTCCCTATACATTTTTGGCATTAGAAGTCACAAAAAAAAAAAATTACTCTGGAGCTGCCAATGTAGGCCTCCTGTTACCTTTGGATAGTTAAAGCTTTTGGGAGCCAAAGAGAGATTTTTAACCCCCATTTAAGTAATTTTTTTTTTTAAGTAAGGAAAAGAAATGACCATGCTGTGGCTGATTAGATATAATTAATTATAATAGCAAACATAAAGCAGATCAATACATACTGATATGAAATTATCCTCAAGTGGTGCTTGTTCTTTGCCTGTATTTTCTGGGAAAATGTACAAAACCTATAAACAAGTATTGGCCTCTGGGAGGGAAATTTGGGGAAGGAAGATTGACATTTCTCTCTAAACTATTTTATTTTAAAGATTTTATTTATTGTTAGAGAGAGGGGAAGAGAAGGAGAGAAACAAGGATTGGTTGCCCCTCACCCGCCCCCCACCAGGGACCTGGTCTGTCGCCCAGGCCTGGGCCCGGACCAGGGGTCAAACATGTGACTTTTTGGCTCCCAGGTCAGGGCTCAATCCTCTGAGCCTCACCAGCCAGGGAAAACTATTTTGGAACTGTTTTTAATTTGTACCAATTGTATGTTTTACTTATTTTTTAAAAACACACAAAATGGTTAGATAAATGCTGTCCAGGTATCATTCTCCCTCTGATGAGGGAGTTTTTAAAACTGGAAGAAAATGAGAATAATCTGCAATTCTACCACCCAGAAAATTGCTGTTAATGTTATAGTACATTTCCTTCTAATCACGTTTCTGAATGTTTTGTAAACAAGAGCATTTTCTATTTTCTAATTTGCCGTATTTTTGCATCTCCTCATCATGTTTCTAATATTGAAAACAATTTATTAAATATTTTACATTTTAACATGCATCTTATTTTACATTTGAATGGGCACTTAAAATTATTTTTGTAAGCCCTTCCCAAAAATCTGTATTTTTTGAAGATATTTTAAATGACTATGTAGTATTCATCACATGCAATCACTCTCCTATTATTCAACATTTGAGTTTTTTGAAAAAATTTTGCAATACTTCCGTTGCAAAAAGTACCTATAGTAATGCTCTATCTGGAGTAAGAAGAAGGAAAATAAGAAAATACACATGTATCTGCTTCGTTGTACAAAAATAACATAGGTTAAGAAACTAATGAGATTGATGGAAATATAGGCGATGGGTGGGAACTGGCAGGAAAGGATGGGTGCGGGGGAGGGGGGGAGGGGAGGGGAGGGATTGGGAGCGGGGCTGCTGCAGGTATACTTTCTGCACAGCCCTGACTTCTGGGACCATGCTAATGGTTCGTGTGTTCAAAAGAAATTCAATAGATGCAATCAACAAGGATAAGGGGGTAAGAATCCTACAGTGAAATATAAACAGAACTATATTTCAAATGAAAAGCATACCAACGGAGGAAAAAAAAGTAACTCAAGTAATTTTTGAATACAGTATTTTGACTATATACCTTTAGGCTAAATACAGAACTGCAAACCAATACTGAAATCTAATTAGCAGGTTTGTTTTTAACAGTGGTATAGATTAGCAAGTCTGAAATTATTTTCTAAATATTCTTGTATTAAGCAAATAAGTAAACACATTTTGGGACCGACTTTCTCACTGTTAGAAAAGGGAGTTACAGACATGGAAAAGAAGGAGACTTGAATAATGAACCCCGTGGTCCTGGATTAGATGGAAGTATCAATATGAACTATATAATACAGGTTGATAGATAAATAAACAGCAAAAAAATTGGGTATGTGTAATGTACATAAAAGTCCAAGCTGAGACAACCTGTATATGTAGTGCTGAGAACTTGGCTTCTAAATACTGTTCTCCACTAGAAGAAATTGGCTCCTTAAAGAAATGGTTGATTCCAGGGCTGGGGTAGGAAAACTAAAAGATGAACATGGAACATCTTGTTCTGCCAGAGATTGAAGAATGTGCTCAAAGCATGATGGAAACATGTCAGAAGGACCAGCAGCTATTTTGGAGGGGTGCCCACTGGCCATCAAGTTAAATTGAGTATAAAAAAAAATGATTTTAACAAATTATAACCTGTTGAATAAAATAAGAATCTGTCAGTCCACACTGATGTAAACAAACATAAATAAAAGCAGGAGAAGGAAAAGGTCTTCCTTATATTACAATGTCAACAATTAATGCAGAACGAATGATGGAGAGAAAATCTGCATTTGGTGACCATTATAATAATAGCTGATTCAGTAATAACTGATTCAGTCAGGAATTATCAATGGAAGCTTAAACTAGTATATGCAAATCTGATGAGCATCTGGATATCTACACAGTTTAAAAGTATTTCACAGAAGAGACTTATCAAGATGCACCAAGTACCATTTTAAGCAAGTGCTCAAAGTTATCATTATCAGTCACGGGACAAGTTCACATCATGAGGACACATCATTTCTGTGGCAATCCTACCAAAAATGTAGGGCCTAAGACTAATCATGAGGAAATATCAGAGAAACCCAAATTCATGGACATTCTATAAAATAATTAGTTTGTACTCTTCAAAAATATAACAGGCATGAAAGATCAAAGAAAGATAAACTGTTCCAGATTTAAAGATACAACAAGAAAATTAGACAGTAATCCTGAATTGGATCCTGAACCATAAAAACAACACAAAATAATTTTTTTTTCTTTTTTGCTAAAAGGGACATTACTGTGAAAATTGACTAAATCTGAATAAGGTCTGTAGATTAGATGACAACATTGTAATGAAGTTGATTTCTTGGTTTTGATCACTGTACTAAGATCATGTAGGGAAACTATCCCTATTTTTAGAAAATAAACACTGAAGCCCAAAGTGGGGGTCAAGAGGCATCACGCCTGCAATTTACTCTCAAAAAAAAATTGTGAGAGTGTGTGTGTGTGTGTGAGTGTGTGTGTGTGTGTGTGTGTGTGTGTGTGTGTGTTTGAGAGAGGGATAGAGAAAGAAAGAGAAGGATAAAACAAATGTGGTGGAAGGTAACATCTGGGGAATCTTGGAAAAGGGAACATGAAAATTCTTTTTTTTTTTAAGCTATTTTATTTATTTTTTTTAGAGAGGAGAAGGGATGGAGAGAGAAACATCGATGTGTGAGAGAAATACTTATCGTTGTCTCTCACATACACCCAACTTGGGACCTCGCCTGCAACCCAGGCATGTGCCCTGACTGGGAATCGAACCAGTGACCTTTTGTTTCATAGGCCATCGCTCGACCCACTGAGCCACACCAGCCATGATAAAAATTCTTTGTACTATTCTTGCAACTTGAAATTTTCTATAAGTCCGATAGTATTTACACACACACACACACACACACACACACACACACACACCCTCCCCCTTTGATATCAAAAGTAATTCACTGAACATCTTTGTTTATAAATAATCTTTGCTTCCTTAGGATTCTGAGTGGAATGACTAAATCAAAGTTATACAGTTTAAAAAATATTGATATATAGGATACAGAGAAGTTTTCTCTAAGTGTGCAGGAGCAAGGCAGTAGAGATGGAGGACTGAGGAGGGCAGACCACGGGGTGAAAACGGGTGTGGTGCTGGAACTAAGGGATGCACTCAGCATGAGTGGGAACCGAAAGCCAGGATGGGCAGATGGGGGTGAGGCCCAAAGCTGATGACATTCGAGACTCTGTTCAGAAACATAATCCTCATGTGGTTCAGCTGCATTGCCCATGGTTAATTTACCTACACAATGGCATGGTAAGAGCAGACTCCAGTACTTGGTCAAATAACAGTGCCCTGGATGTCTCCTTCTATATGCACCTGTCTGGGGCAGACCAGTTATTCACTGATGAGTCACAGTGAGTCCCTGCGACTTTCTGGTTGGCACCCAAGAACCAGCCATACAACTTCTCCATTCAGTACATAGTCATATGACCTAGTGGCTTGCTTTATGATGGGTAAATAATCTACAATAAGCTTTCATTTTAAATGTCAATAACACATTCGACAAAATATATATATTAACTCTTCACTTAAAGTTGTCAATAGGTTCTGCAACTTTAAATGAAATGATGTATAATGAAACCAGTTTCATCATAGGTTAATTGATATAAACAAGAGTTAAGTTCCTATGGAATCTCACCATTTTAGAAAAATGTTGACTGAAATGGTATTATTCACGGACCTACTGTATATTAATTTTGGTGCTTTCTGAATGTTTGCTATTTGCCAGGGACTATGTTAAATGCTTCATGTGAATTCTCTCATTTAATCCTCCAAATAACTCGATGGGGTGGTAGTATTATTACGTCCATTTCACTGATGAGGAAAATTGAGTCTAGAGAAGAAAGTCAAGGTAAAACTTGCTCCACTTCACAAAGCTTAGATTCAAATCCATGAGTCTGACTCTAGAGTCTTCACTGTAATCCACATGCTATGCTGGACAGAAAATTTTAATTAAAAAGGAAAAAGGCGATCAACCATAAATCAGGAGCCTATGACGAACATTATATTCCCTGAAATACAAATTCTATTTTTCCACTCTGTATTCATCCAGGCATTTGTCTGATAAAGGGAACATACCTGACAGAAGAACTGTTGCTGGGCTCCTGCTCCAGGTGTATTACTGAAGGTGCTGGTAGATTTGGAAGAAGAAACTGGAAGACGATGAGACACGCTGACCGGCACTGGAGTCCTGTTTGGCTGGGTCAGCTGATCTGTAAAGTTTGATCCGGACGCACCCGACTGAACCACAGACCCAAGACTAGGATGGGCAGTGCTGGATGAGCTAACGGGGAACCGACTAGGGCCTGACATGCTTGCCACTGAGGGCATGGTGGTGAAGCCTGGTCTTCCTTGGGAGACGCTGCTCTGCCCAGGCGACAGGTGTAATACTGTTGGTGATGCCTGCTGCAGGGGCATCTGTCCGCCAACAATCTGAGGAGAAGCATGATTGACTATCACTGGACTTCCAGAGGCAGCAAACGTCTGCCCAGACACTAACTGGACGGCGGTATTCTGGTTGTTGAGCATCTGTCCAGAATAGGGTTGGTTGGTCCTGAGCATGTTGGAAGAGTTTCTGTTCAACATGACATGTTCTGAGGCCACTTGGCCAGAAATGAGCTGAGAAGGTTGAGTTTGAAGAATTTGCCCGTTTATGGTCTGGACATGGTGTACCGAGTTGGAACTCACGGAAAGGCTTGTAGGTACAAGGAACTGACTTTGGGGTGTGTGAGGCTGGCCCATGGGAGAATGAATGACGATACTACCTGCAGCGCTGCTCACTGCCTGTGAGGTGACTGGTTTTCTTGCATTCTGTTGGTTTACGATGTTCACAGACATGTGTGGACCAACTACTGAGCCCTGGGGTGAGCTTGCAGAGGCAAAAGAGATGCCTTGTTGCACATGATGCTGCTGCATTCCCAAATTGTTCACATTGTACGTATTTTGCTGACCCATCTGGATAGGCTTTGGCTGGATGTTAATCGGAACTTTATTTGAATTTGGTGCAAGACCCCTTTGTATAATGATGTTATGCACGGGTAAAGATGTTTGAAAATTTGTGCTGTTAAACGGAACGGTAACAGGCTGTGCTACGGGACTGGAACTTGAGTTCCCAAACAAGGAGTTGCCATTAGGAGTCTGCCTATGAACCAGAAGCCCTCCACTCACATTTGATGGGGCTTGCTGCCCGCTGCCCTTCAGTATGATTTGAGATCCATCTAGGTTATTAATAGTCATCATGGAAGGTTGATTACCAAATGACCCAATTAACTGTATTTGACCAGAACCACTAAGCTGACTGCTATTAGATAAATGCTGGCTGGGAACACTGATCCCCACGTGTTGCATAAAACCATGTTGCACACCCACTGTATTGCTTGCAAAAGATGCTCCAACAGGCACGTGAGTCACCCCTATAGGCTGCAGCGTCTGACCTGAGTAATTAGAAACATTAGAAGCCTGAGTAAAGGATGCTGATGAAGAAGGATGAAGCTGAGCTTGTGCAAACTGTTGGCTTGAACCTATATTGGCATCCAAATATGCCTCTTCTGCCAAAGTCTGTTCAGTGATATTGGCCTCCTGCAAGGATTTCTGAAGAATGTCGAAAGGTTGGTCCTCACTGAGATCAGGAAGAGGAGAAGACTCAAGTTCATCTTCAAGAAACTGAAGGCTACTTGAAAGTGGCAGTCCATCACTGGGCCCTTCTCCAAGCTGGTTGCTCACAGCTTTGAGGGATGACTTAGGATCAGCATTCTTAAAAAAAAAAAAAAAAAAAAGAAGCAAAGCACTGTGTTACATGGCATATCCAACCTTTGAAAGAGATTCTTACAAAAACACTAATCTCACTTTTGAAAAGGAATACAACATGACAGTCTGCTTTTCAAGCACACTCTCCAAACTGCTCACCTTATTCTGATACTGTATTTCTTTTTTATTTTTAAAGATTTTATTTATTTCTAGAGAGAGGGGAAGGGAGGGAGAAAGAAAGGGGGAGAAACATCAATGTGTGGTTGCCTCTCACATGCCCCCAACTGGGGATCTAACCCGCAACCCAGGCAAGGGCCCTGACTGGGAATCAAACTGGCAACCCTTTTGTTCGCAGACTGGCACTCAATCCACTGAGCCACATCAACCAGGGCCTGATACTGTTTTTCTTAGATAATGATGTTGAAAATTATTTTTGTAATTATGTACATTCATTGCCCTGATAAACTATTTTATAGAAAATAGATAAATAACAGGAACTTAGTGACGAGTACCTAGAGCTTAGCTTCCTTTTTTGAGATACTGGCACAGACTTTAATTTTCAGGATGCTTCTGGTCCAAGGTTTAAGTAGAACTCAGGCCAGAGGGTGTGTATATCGGGGACACAGCCCTACCTAGTCCTTTGTACAAGAGTCTAAGTGAGGTTTGGGAGTTCAGGGTGCTGTTCTATTAGAGGTTCAGAAGGTATCCCAGAATCAGCCCTGTCTTTTAAGGTTTCTCAGAACTTCCCCAGTTCTAACCCTCACCACCCCAGGCAAAACCAGGCCAGGAAAAACAAGCCTCTCACATAAAATGAGTAAATGGTCACTTGATTTCTTAGAAGTAATCAGTTTATTATAATGCTTTAAAAACTACTTCAGCCCTGACTGGTGTGGCTCAGAGGGTTGGGCGTCATCCTGCAAACCAAAGATCACCAGTTTGATTCCCGGTCAGGGCACATGCCTGGGTTATGGGTTAGGTCCCCGGTTGGGGGCATAAGGGAGGCAACTGATAATGCTTCTCTCAGATATTGATGTTTCTCTCTCTCCCTTTCTCCCTCCTTTTCCCTTTCTCTAAAAATTAAAAAAACACAAAAAAACCAAAAAAAACACCTATTTCAGTTTCCTATCCAAAAGACTATCAACATTTACTTATCAAGCACCTACTCATGTGTTAGTTTTTATCCTTAAGGTATCCTTAAGGAATAGGCATTCCAACTGGAGTCAACAATACAGGCATATGAAAAGAACTGAACATCGTCATTCATAAATAAGGTATACTCCACTTGCCAGCAGTTTTTTCTGGGACATGTCAAAATTATAGAAGAAAAAATATGGACTCCATCCACCATCTTGGAGCCTGGGGAGGTCTGCTGGGAGCGGGACTTCTATAAAGACAAATATGTGTGGAAGGCTGTGGTCCAAGGCCATTTTTGCTGGCTATAAGCAGGGTCATTGGAACCAGAGGGAGAACAAGACTCTTCTGAAAATTGAAGGTGTTTGTGCTCAAGATGAAACTGAATTCTATCTAGGCAAGAGAGATGATTATATGTACAAATCGAAGAACACAGTGACTCCTGGTGGCAAACCAAACAAAACCAGAGTAGTCTGGGGAAAGGTAACTTGTGCTCATGGAAATGGTGGCATGGCTTGTGCCAAATTCCCAAGCAACCTTCCTGCTAAGGCCATCAGGCACATTATCTGTGCAATGCTGTACCCCTCACAGGTTTAAACTTATGAAAAGTAAAAAAAGGTAATATTTTTCTCTTGTTAAAAAAAAAAAAAAGATATAGAATCAACAGCTATTTAAAATAAGGTGAAGACAGACCCTGGCTGGGTAGCTCAGTTGGTTAGAGCATCGTCTTGATACACCAAGGCTGCAGGTTTGATCCTCAATCAGGACACATACAAGAATCAACCAATGAGTGCATAAAAGAAAGTGGAACAACGAATCGATGTTTCCTTTTCACTCTCTGTCTCTGTCTCTCAAATCAATTAATAAATAAAAGGATACCTTGTCTCTAATTTTAAAAGATAAATAAAATAAGATGAAGACAATGTGAATAGACTTAACACTACAGAACTGTACACTTCACATGATTAAGATAGAAAATTTTATGACATATGTATTTAACACAATCAAAACATTTTTTTAAAACGTGAAGAGAAAAAATAAAAGTAGATGGGTCAAGAACAGGTGGTCCAAAAACGAAGAAAAATAAGAACAAAGAATGAGTGGTCTGGTCCAATGTGCAAAACTGTAGAGATTCTCAGCCCTCGGCTAAGATGCTGGAGGCTAGATAATGGGAAGAACTACACAGAAAAGCCAAGACTGGTTCTTTCAACCCCCAATGAATAAATAGTTGAAATGGGACTAATGTGGTCCCCATTAGCTGGACACCATCTTAGGACTTGAAGAATCAATGAGCTTAAACATAGTAATTTGGATATAGTCTCCAGGCAGGACTTCCCAATTCTCCAGGTCAGGTTTCTCGTCTATATGCTCCTGGAACTTGAGAATATGGGCTCCAGAACCCAGTGGCCTGGGTCAGAATCCTCACTCTGCAGCTCCTGGCTGTGTAATTTTGGGGAGTACTAATCTCTCTGTGCTTTGGTTTCCTCATCTATAATATAAGGATAATAACAGAACCTACTTCATGGAGTTATTGTGAAGATTAATGAAGTTAATTATGTTAAACTGTTAGTGCCACAAACATATTAAATGCTCAGTAAATTTCAGTTACTTTTTTTCTTCTTTAAGATGAAAATGTTTAGCAAGTAACTACAATTCAGAATAATTTATTTAAAACTACATAAACCAGGTTTGAAACATTGTAATATTACTTTTTTAGATTTTAACATTTGAGTCAGTTTTTAAAAAAGTTGAAAGCTTAGGAAAATGGAAAAATAAATCTCATTTAGCTGGTCTTGACTAAGTTAAAAGTAGAGTATTAACATAATTCAATAGATTTTCCTTCTGTGTTAATTACAAAAGGCAATGTAATAATTCTCACCATGATACAAAAGCAAGTAAAGCCTCAATTCACAAGGCATGAATGAGACAAAAACACTTGATCACTGTATCCAGTTTCTAATACTCACACTAGAGTTGGCGAAAATTGAATTTGAATTGGCTGCAGAATATCCTGCATTAGTCAAGTCATCATTGCTCTGCAAAGGTACAAATTCAACAGAGTGATTACTTTAACTGTAAAGAAGAAACAAAATTTACATCTGTCATGTTCAAAGTATTACTTACAGATTTATTACTAGGTCCATGTAGAAAATAGTTCAGTGCTTGTGGGTCTCTAGAAAACAATGAAAGGGGAAAGCAACAATAAATATGTTACCTATATTTAAAATTCTTTTTTCTATAGTAAAAAAAAAATTGACATATTAGCCTGAGTAAATTATTTCCCTATTTTAAAGCAATTTTATTAGTTTTTTGTTTTACTTTTTATCTTTTTGATGTTTTTCTATTTTATATTATCTCTCATTTCTGCCTACTGCGACTTATTAAAAAATAAATTTAATAAAGGATAAATAAAGCATTACCTAATTATGACCCCTATCATATTTCAGTCTCTTTATTTGTTAATCCACACTATGATGATGAATTTTTATTTAAAAAACCCATCTGGTTTTAATAGACTTATTAGGTTGTTTTAGTAGAGCAAACCTCACACATTTGATTTACCCTCATTTTGGAACAAGTATCTTACCCAATAAGATCAAGGAGACACGAGTCATCATCATCATCCATGACAACTGTAAGAAAAGGAATTAAAAAAAATACTGTTTTAGCAAAGTAGATTAAAGCCAGGAGCATCCATGCAACATAAAAATATACTATATACTTTCCTAGATAAATAACTGTACTTCATTTAGTTTTTCCTCTAATTGCTTATTACTAACAGGGTTTTATTTTTTGTGATCATTCAAGAGATTAAGTATTCAATTTAAATAGTTTTTAATAAACACAAGGTCCTTAACTTACAAGTCAAAAAGGAATCTGGACAAATCAAAGATACTTGGCAGCAACCCCTCACACGCACATTCCCCAGAGGGACTATAAACCATGAACAGTAACTTCCTTAAAATGTATCAAGAATAAGGGGAGAAAGAATATTTGTTTTAGAAAAACATCTCATGGATACAGAGGTCTTTAAATTTTGTGACTGGATGTTTCCCAACATGGTGAGCAATACAGATTTGTTGCCATATTTTAGCTATCTTTAGGAAAACGGAAAAGCCAGCTCTTGCTACTTTTTGAGACAAGAAGCACCATAGTATAATCCAAGGCAGCACTGCTACAGGCTTTGCTCCAAAGGCCCCAGGTCCCTCCTCTGGCAGCAACAACACTGCCAACTGTTCGATTCCAAACAACCTATATCCCAACACTAGAATGTTTAAAGTAGAAAATCTCAATCCACATTCACCCTGGCTCGGGGCGCAGAGCTCCTTCCCTCCCCAGCCATCAGCAGCATCTGCTCAGCCAGCACAGTTACTGTGTTCTGGCTCAAACAATAACAACCGACAAATTCCAAGAGCAGCTCTCCCCATCTCCACCCTCCCCAGAGATCCCGATATCCTTTAAACTTACACTAGTGATCCGACACATGGCAACACTGCTTCACACCCATTTCGAGCCATGCGTGGAATAATTTACATCACGGAATGCCAGGGCCAAGAGTTCTGGAGCAGTTGGAAAGGGCAGTGTGTGTGAACGGCAGTTGGACGAAGGAATGAAATCCTGAAGAGATGCCCAGAAGAGGGACACGCCCAAAGAAGGCAGAAGGGATCATTTCTACTAAATGTTTTTCTCTGTTAAAATTGCCATCTCCTCTCTGCTCCCCCTAAATTGCTTATACTAGCAGTCACAGGGCCAAACAAATATAAAATCGACTCCAGCCACATGGAAGGAAACTTGTTTTCCTCTGCAAGGGTCTCAAAGGGGTAAGTATCCCCTGATGTGGGACCTTCCCGTTGGTGGGTGAATTTGTTCAGTTGCTGAATGATTTGGGTGATTACAATCCATTTGAGTGAAACTTCAGGGGAGAGGAGAGAAGATTTGTGAGACAGGAGGAAGAAAGATAGGAAAGTTTATCAAAAGGTAACCTGCAAGGCTAAAACTGTGAAAGGGGCAGCTGGCGATGTGAAATGTGCTCTTAGGACGACGGTGTGGAGTTCCTCAAGGGCACGCCAGGGTGACTGCAGCAACGTAACGTGACTTTTGAGTGGAAATGGACAAGAAAGGAAAAACAGGAAAATTGTTATTCAATAGATATACAGAAGTTTGTGTGAAGGAATCCCCTTAAGTCTGATATCTGATATGGTAGAACTGCATTAGCCATAGCTGATTATTGTACCATTTGCTTGTCTCCCAGGCATCACAATCACGTGGACTCAGTTACGCAATTGTGATGTATAGTCAAGCCTATAAAGTGGACATTATTTCTTTACTTCTACATGACCATTAATTTAGAATTTCCCTATACTCTTTGTAAATTTATATTTTTAAAGTGTTTAACAGTCTCTGGAACAAACTAATTAATAAAAATGTAAATGAAAGATAACCTAAAAAGAAAAAAACTCAAACCCCACAACAGTTTCTTCACTACTTTACATCTGGTTCCTGGTTCTGCCAGAGAAAAGATGCCCAGGGATTAACACACTGAGAAGGTCAGCACGTCACTCCACCCAGGTATCACTGCCACTGGGACTTGCGGCACAGAGAATACTTACTACCCCCAAAGTTCAAAGTGACGAGCTACTTGAGTAGTCTAATAAAAGAACAATTTTACAATAGGGAATTCAATTAGAAGCCATTGTGCCTCTTCCCAACCAAACCACAAGGGCTCAAACACTCGATCTGACAGAGCACTTGCAGGGGATGTCTGCCCCCCAGTCGGTGGCATCAGTCTGACCAGATAGACCGACCCCTTCCGCGCCCCCGGGGGTAGAACTCTGTGAGCCTTTATAGTCTAGGGTACCCTGGGAATGCTGCTTTTTAAACGGCCACACTCATTCCTGGCTTTAAAGAATTTCATATTAAAAGAGGTGACCCTTATCCCTCTATTGCCAGCTCTACAGAGTGACAAATACAGTCATAATACAGCTTAATGTAGTAGTTCCTTTCCCCAGGAAAGGTCTACCAAAGTAAATTTACCAAAGTAAATGTGTACAGTTTGAGTATGATTCTAAGGTGGGAAGACAATCTGAGGATCAGAAACTGATTCAAAAGAGTTCAGTTTCCTTTGAAAAGGTTCTCTCTTTACTTCTGGACTCTTGTTAAGGTTTTTTGCTCATTAAAGTGGCAGCCCTGGAATCACTAGATGGGCCTCTGACAGCACGTGAATTTTATAAGGCTGCATGAAATATCAGCCCCCCTCTAAAGGGAAATCCCTCGATCAGTGTGTAAAAGCTACTTCTTGGCCCAACACACTCAAGCAAGACATATTCCCCTCAGTAACAGCAGCTTACAACAGTAGAACCTGTCCCTGTGAAACTCTTACAGAATCCTGGTAGGCAGGCACCCCAAGAGTTCAGAAATTACTGCCCCACATAGCTGATTACTCCTCTTAAATTAAAACTAATATTTAAAATTGTTCCTGAGACAACAAACACTGAATAATACCCTTAATCAAGAAAATACAGTATATCCACTTGGCCTTTTCCACGAGGGGGTGGGTGGGGGGAGAGAGAAAGAGAGCGCGCGCGCGCACACACACACACACAGCATAAAAGAAGTAGCATTCCAAATCGGGGGCGGCGGCGGGGGGGAATGTTAGCCATATAGGGAAAAGAAGGTGGGTCTGTATCTCATATCTTACACAAAAATAAATTCCAGATGAATCTAAGAGTTAAATGGGGTGGGAGTGGCGGGGAAGAACCTTTAAGTGCTATACTAACACATGGGAGAAATTGCTTTTTATAATCTTGAAGTGGGGGGAAGTCTGTCACAAGACAAAGAAGTCATAGAAGATGGACAGATTTGGTCACATAAAATTTAAAAATTCTGCATGATAAAAAAAAATCATAAAGTCAAAGACTGAAACACCCAGAAAACTGAAGTGGGAATTATATCTCCAACTCATCTCAAAGGGCTCTTCTCTCTGATATACAAAAAGGATGGTTATAACTAAGAAAAAAAGAAAGAAATTAGCTACCCTGCAGAAAATCAAGGGGTCTGAATAATCAATAAAAAAGAAAGACAGGTAGCCCCTACATTTATAAAAATAATCATCTTCTCTTAGAGTAAGTTTTCAGAAGTCCCCCCTGATCCATGGTTTCACTTTTGGTGGTTTCAGCTATCCAAAATCAGCCTCAGTCTGAAAATATTCAATGGAAAATTCCAGAAATAAACAATTCATAAGTTTGAAACTGCATGTTGTTCTTGGCAGTATGACGGAATCTCTTGCCGTCCTGCTGTGTCCCACTAGGGACGTGAATCATCGTTTGTCCAGCATCTCACTTAGTAGCCTCTTGGCCATCGGACTGGCTGTCACAAGCCTATTGCAGGGCTTGTGTTTAAGTCACCCTTCTTTTACTTCATCATGGCTCAAAGCACAAGAGTAATGAAGCTGGCAATTTGGAGAAGCCATAAAGTGTATGTATGTATAGGAAAAAACACATATATAGGGTTCAGTACTATCACGGCTTCAGGCAAGAGAGGGTGGCCTTTGGAATGCATCCCCTGTGGACAAGAGGGACTTCTGTAAATTAAAATTATGATGAGATACTATTTCCTGTCAGATGGCAAAGATAAAGTTTGGTTAAGAACCATGCTGGTCAGGGAGTGGAGAAACCAGAATTTTTATACTTTGGTGGTGGACAGTGTAAACTCGTAACTCCAGAGAGGGCAATTTAGCAATACCTTTCAAAATGTGAAGTGCAAAAATCATTTCACCTGGCAAATATATTTCTGGGTATTTGTCCTGCTGATATCTTTGCACATGTGGGAAAAGATATGTGTATAAGAATATCCAGTGCAGCATGACTGGTTTTAGCAAGACTGTAAAAACCTAGATTTCATGGATACAGGGTTTCTTTTTGGGGTGATGAACATATTCTGGAATGAAACCACTAAATTGTACATTTTAAAAGGGTAAATGTTATGGACTATAAATTATATCTGAATTTAAAATATTTTTTATCTTATCACTTTATTTTTTATTTAGAGAGTACAGTTATAAAACCTGGGGACAGTGAAACAAGGAAGGGCTTAAGGTAGAAAAAGCAACAGGAGAGCTGAGGCGGGGCTGCCGTGGCTCCCTGGGAAGTCAGAGAACAGGGGCCGCAGAGACAGATTCATGGGGTTAGGCCAGAATGAACTCCTACTGCCCATTGCTCCCCTGGTTATAAGTCTCTGAGGTCCCTTAGAGTTTAGCATGCCTGTGGAGGAAAGGTGCACGCGTGCTCCTGGGAAGGAGAGCATGCTAAAATATTTTTTAAAACCCTAGGTGTCCAGAATGAGAGACCTGATAAATGAATTGTGGTTCACCTACACACTGGAATACTACACAGCCACTAAAATTAAGAAGGCAGCCCTGGCCAGCATGGCTCAGTTGGCTGAGCATCATCCCATAAACTGAAAGGCTGCCGGTTCGATTTCTGGTCAGAGCACATGCCTGGCTTACGAGTTTGGTCCCTGCTTGGGGCATGTGCAAAAGGCCACCGATTGATGTTTCTCTCTCACATGGATGATTCTCTCCCTCCCTCCCCCGCTCTCTGTTATCAACTTTTTAAAAAATGAGGCATCTTTATAC